AGGGAGATCCTCTTTGCTGGCTTGATGGAGGAAGTAGCTGTGTTGAGGAAGCTGGTGGCCAGGGTCAGTGGGTAGACTCTAGAAACTACAATTGTTCCCTAAGACCAATAGGTGGTCTCTAAACCTGAAGGCATCCTCCAGCCAACAGACGGCTAAAAGGCGGGGCCCTCAGTTATTCAGCCACAAGGAAATAAATGATGCCAATAATAAAAATACTGTTGAGAGCAGATTTTCCCAAATTGAGCCCTAGGATGAGAACCCAAAGTGCCAGATGCCTTGATCACAGCCTAGTGAGACCCCAAGCAAAGGACACAAGTAGGCTGTTCCTGGACCCAGGATATTTGGAAAGTCTGAGAAAACAAATGTATGTTGTTTTTATTAACTCAGATTATGAGAATTTTTTTTAATGAAACAATAGAAAACTAATCCTGTATAATAAAGAGGTAATATGCAAATTAACCCTCACACCCTCACAAGATGGCTGCCTACGACCAGGCTGGCAGGGGGGTTAGTGAGAGACAACCAAACGACTGAACAGCAGGCTGCGAGGGGCGACCAGGCCGGAGGGGAGGGGACGTGAGGGGTGACCAGGCCAGCAGGGGGGGCAGTTCGGGACAACCAGGCCAGCAGGGGGGGCAGTTCGGGACAACCAGGCCAGCAGGGGGGGCAGTTCGGGACAACCAGGCCAGCAGGGGGGGCAGTTCGGGACAACCAGGCCAGCAGGGGGGGCAGTTCGGGACAACCAGGCCAGCAGGGGGGGCAGTGAAGGATGATCAGGTTGGCAGGGGGGGGGGCAGTTAGGGGAAACTAGGCAAGCAGGCAGGCGAGTGGTTAGGAGCCAGTGGTCCAGGATTGTGAGAGGGATGTCCAACTGCTGCTTTAGGCCCAATCCCAAGGGGTTCCGGATTGGAGAGGGTGCAGGCTGGGCTGAGGGGAGTATCTCCCCCATGCACAAATTTTGTGCACTAGGCCTCTAGTACCATATATAAAAACATGGTAAATGTGTTGTAATTTAATATTGAATCAGGCCATTTCATTTTGCAGTGTTTAAAGAATAGGGTTCAATTAAAATATGTCTTTAAAATTCCTTAATTGTATTTCTGAAGGGTGTGTTTTGCACATTCTGATGTTAATTTTCCTGGATAATTAACCAGTACATGAACAATTTGTATTATAACGCCAATATGTTCAAAAACTAAAAATCATAAATTGTAATTTGCTGCTTCTCTTACAAGAGAAGAGTGGGGTGAGGCAATAATGTACTAAAGTTTTTGATAGAAGAATGAAAAAAAGTATATATCTATCACCATGAAAAAGTATATAAAGCCAGTATTATTTGTATAAAGTTCACAGAAACTGGTCAAAAAGTGGAAAACAGCCCTAACTGGGTTGATTCAGTGCATAGAGCATCAGCCTGTGGAATGAAGGGTCCTCAGTTCGATTCCGGTCAAAGGCATGTACCTTGGTTGTGGGCACATCCCCAGTTGCGGGTGTGCAGGAGGCTGCTGGTCAATGTTTCTCTCTCATCGATGTTTCTAATTCTCTATCCTTTTCCCTTCCTCTCTGTAAAAAAATCAATATTTTAAAACAAAAGAGAAACTGATGGGAATTCCACTCTAGCAACATGGTAAATTTCTAAAACTCTCGATTAAAACCCAATCTATAAAACGCTAATATGCAAATAGACTGAACAGCGGAACCGAACGAACAACCGGTCGCTATGATGTATGCTGACCACCAGGGGGCGCGCACAAAACATGGTGGGCATCAGCAACAGGTGACAGAGCGCTGAACATGGTGGATGTCGGCTGCAGAGGACCAAGGCAGGGCACCGGTTGCTGTCATCCAGGCGAGCCTCTGGTGGTTACTGAAAATTCTTTGCTCCCCCGCTCGCTCCCTGGTCCTGCTGGGCACTCGCTCCTGCTTCTGGTGCCAGCCCCACTCACACCCGCTGCCGGCGCCAGAGCTGCCACTCTCACCTTCTGATGGGGCCAGCCCCGCTCGCACCTGCTGCTGGCGCTGGCCCCAATCGCTCTGTGCTGTCAGGGTGTGGGAGTGGCGGCAGCGGGAGTGGGGCTGCCAGCAGACAGGGAACTGGGGCCATGGTGGGAGGGGCCAGGAGGAGGTGTGGAGGATGGGACGAAACCTGCCCCTGTGCCCATTGCAGGCTTGCAGTCCACAATTCCTTTCAAGGTGCACAAATTTATGCACTGGGCCCCTAGTATTGTAGATGACACATGTCCTTGGAAAAATAAATCTTGAATATCACCAGTTTGCTTTGTGTTAAGCAGAGCAGGCAGAGAGTAACTATCAAATGTTTGATTCTACATCCAGAAAGGAACACTGGAGGCTAAAAGTGTCAGCACTCTGCCTTTGAGTCAAGCAGGCTTCCAAGGCAATGGTTAGAGTCCTGATCCAGGAAAGAAAAAAAACCACCACCCAATACTGTTCTCCGTTTTCAACCAGGAATGCATAAATAAACTTTGCAAACTTCAGGCTTCCCACATTTTGCTTCCTGTCATTTAATGAAAGCACACATAGACTCAGGTTCCTAGTGGGAAGTGTTCCATTTTGCACAATTTCACTCACCACAGGAAAGTAATAAAGGGGATATACTCTGGGACAGTTTTCTCAAGCCTGGTAGCACTTGTTTGATATTTCTATAATTTGGGTCAAGAGGACACAAGGGTGGAGATGCCTATTTTTGCATCACACCACAGGGTTAGTTATCTTTACATTTACTATATCAAATTCTTTAAAAGTTCTGAAGTGCCCTGACTGGTTTGGCTCAGTGGATAGAGCATCGGCCTGCGGACTGAAGGGTCCCAGGTTCGATTCCGGTAAAGGGCATGTACCTTGGTTGCGGGCACATCCCCGGTGGGGGGTGTGCAGGAGGCAGCTGATCGATGTTTCTCTCTCATCGATGTGTCTAACTCTCTATCCCTCTCCCTTCCTCTCTGTAAAAAAAATCAATAAAAATATATTTTAAAAAAAGTCCTGAAGTATTCAAACATGATAATGATGCTATTTCATAGTTACTGAGTGCTACTGAGCACCTGCACTGATTTCATGCAGTTTCTTATTTAGTCCTTACACAAGCCTGTGGAAGAGGTACGAAACTACACTCATGGCATGGATAAGGAACTGGAAGCTTACAGAGGTTAATGATTCGTGAGTTGAAGTAGAAACACTTCTATTTTTTAAAACAGCTCTTTTTTTTTTTTTGGAGCAGTTTTATGTTCAAGCAAAATTGAACACAGGGTACAGAGATTTCCTATATACTCCCTCTCCCCACTCATTCATACCTCCCGCATTATAAACATTCCTACTGGAGTGGTACATTTGTTATAATGGATGACCTAAACTGACCCATCATTGTCGCCCAAATCCCATAGTTAACATTGGAGTTCACTCTTTATGTTGTACATTCTATGGAGTTGAAAGAATTCAGGATGACATGTATTCACAAAATTGTACCATTCAAAGTAAGTTTATGTCTACTTAAATCAAAGTCCAAGGAGTGAGGAGAGAGAGAGAGAGAGAGAGAGAGAGAGAGAGATTGGTTCCTCCAGGTGCATGCCCCTTGACCGGGAATCGAACCCACGACCCTCCTGCACAGGCCAACACTCTAGCCACACAGGCCAGGGCCAAGCCCTTATTCTTTACCCCATTCTTTAACCATAATACCGTAAAGGCCCCCAATGTATGTGCTGTCTGGCCAATAATGAGAAAAAAGGAAATACATACTATTTGTATTTTCAAGAACCCCTGGATTACATGACCGGACATTTGCGTCCTATATTACCATTAGCAAAGTGCTTTCTCATACTGGTCTCATTTGCTCATGGTAAGAATCCTGTTTAAGGTGGGTGTGCAGTACAGCGTGCCGATGTTAAGAATTTAGGCTCTGGGGTCAAAGGAGCATAAGCTTAAATATTAGCCCTGAAGTTCATTAGCCCCACGACCTTGGGAAAATCAACCTCTCAGTTCCCCAAACTGCCAGGGGTGGCGACAACGCCCACCTCACAGGCAGGCGTGAGGGTCCTGTGCGTGAGCCCCAGCGCACAATAAGCAACGCAACAAAGGTTTGCTGTCCAGGCTCACGGATCATGAGCCACCGCGCCCAGTGGCTGGAAGAGTAGGCACTGACCGTAAGGCCAGGAGCGGGGCCCCGTTTTCTGACGGAGAACTTTCTCCCTATCCCCCGTTCTCCTCGAAGGGGTTGGATATAGGTTTATTAGTTTCTGAATACACAGTTCTCCCACCCCACCCCCACCCCACGGTCAGCCGCAGGGCCAGCTTCTACATGCCCACGCCCCGAGGTGCTTGGTACGAAGGGTTCAAGTAAAATGCCTCAAGCGTGTCCTACCTAAGTGGGGCAACAGAAACCCGGCCACCAGCCCCCCTTAGAATTGCGTCACAAGCCCCCTTCGAACGTTCACGGGGCACCTCGTTCTGGTCCGAACCCAGCCTCCGCGCTCAGGAACGACCTCGCCTCCAATTGGCTGTCGCCCAGGGCAACCAAGGACGCGGTGGCACGCGGGGCCTCCCGCCGGTATTTAAAGGCTGTCGTTGCCTGCGCCACCTCAGTCCGGCCAGGACACCGGTGGAGACGCACCTGGGTTGAGAGGGGCCATCGAGGTAACGGGAACCCCCTGCCTCCCCAGCTCGAACCCCTGCCGAGGCGGGGGTGTGTGGGGCGCCTGTCCCTCAGCCTTGCGCCTCAACACTTTCCTCCCCACCCTCTTTACACAGCGCCAGTCCCACCCAACCCGCCTGGGCGAGACCACCCGGGTGCGAAGGGCGAGAGATTCCCAGAGAAGAGCGAGTGAGCGAGCGGAGAAGAGGGTCTCTCTGGAGGGTAAGGCCGGATCTCAGCCAGGCACGTGGTGCTGTGCGGAGGGACACTGGGTGCCGAGGCTTCAGAACCTCGGATCTGGCCAAATTTGAGGACAGCGTTTAGGACGCTTCCACTTAGACCTCTCGGAGCTCCCTGAACCATGACCCAGACCCTCCATAAAAGGGAAGCCCCTCTTAACCTGGGCGGCGGCTGGGCAGCCTCTGCTCCGTTTCGCTCTTGGTCCTCCTGCCACCGAAGGCGCAGGGGCGCCCCGATTTACAAGCGGCGGCAGCACTATGGCCCCAAGGCTGAGTATGAGCCCCAGAGGAAGCAGCCGAAGCCACGGTACGGCCCGGGCCCTTGGTTCCAACCACCCCAGAGTCCTTACTGGGGCATGTACTCTAACTGGGGGTGCTGGGGCGGGCCCTGGTGCCCACCTCCAATGGGATACCGGAAGCCCCCCAGCCCTGGGCTAGTGGCCCGAATGTATGGCCTGCACCCCGTCTGCCTTTGCTGCTGCTTCTGCTGGCGTGGGCCCTGGAACCCCGGCTGGGCGAGGGCCCCTG